CTAACACTAGTTGCATTAGCATGCTAACACTAGTTGCATTAGCATGCCAACACTAGTTGCATGAGCATGCCAACACTAGTTGCATTAGCATGTTAACACTAGTTGCATGAGCATGCTAACACTAGTTGCATTAGCATGCCAACACTAGTTGCATGAGCATGCCAACACTAGTTGCAATAGCATGCAAACACTAGTTCCATTAGCATGCTAACACTAGTTGCATGAGCATGCTAACACTAGTTGCATGAGCATGTTAAGACTTGTTGTGTTAGGGTGACACAGTGGCTCAGGTGGTCTTGCTGCTGCCTCTCAGTGAGAAGGTTGCCGGTTTGTTCTTATTATTTTTTGTCTTTCCTCCTAGAGAAGGACCTGCTCACCTGCTCACCTCCATTCTGGGCCTGTCATTCTGTGTCTGTTTCTACTTCCTGTCCTCTCAAACCAGCCGGTCAAAGCAGATGTTCGCTCGTCCTGAGCTGGTTCTTCTGGAGGTTTCTTCCTGTTAAAGGGAGTTTTTCTTTCCACTGTCTCCTTTGTGCTCGCTCAGAATGAGAGACCGTGATGAAGTGAAGATTCAACACAATCTGCTGCTTCTTTAGATAAATAATGTTACTAATTTAATTTATGTATATATGAATGTTTCTGTTCAGTGCCCTGACACGACTTCTGTTGTTACTTGGAGTTATAGAAATAAACTGAAGTGAATCAAATCCCCGCCGGGGTCTTTCTGGGTGGAGTTTGTATGTTCTCTCCGTGCATGCGTGGGTTTTCTTTGGGTACTCTGGTTTCCTCAAACAAGACCAAAAACATGTATGTTACACTGATTGGTAACTCTAAATTGTCTCTAGGTGTCCCTGTGATGGACTGGAGACCTGTCCAGGTGTCCCCCGCCTCTCACACAGTGATGGCTGGACATGGGCACCAGTGACCCACACGACCTGAGAATGAATGAATAGATGGATGGATGATAGATGGATGATGGATGGATGATGGATGGATGATGGATGGATGATGGATGGATGATGGATGGATGATGGATGGATGATGGATGGATGATGGATGGATGGATAATTGTCTAATGTTTACGAGCACAAGTGGAAACCTGAACGTTTTTCCTGATTCTCCTCATTTCCTCCATCAGAAGTGAAATAATCCCGAGGATTAAGTTTGTGTTTGTCCTTCTGGAAAGCTTTTCGTCCCATCTGACGGTGTCCAACCTTTGTGAAGCTCAAACAGACCAGGCATCTGATGCCCCCCCCCCCCCCCCACACACACACACACACACACTTATTTGAACAGGGGAGACTGTGTGTGCGCGCTCGGCTCCATCCATCGTCTATCGTTACGTTTCTCTCAGAATAATTGCTCACTTTAATTAAGCTCATCATCTTCTTTTCTCCACTTGGACGGCTGATTAGTCTGAGCTGCTCCTCCGCTTCTCTTCATTACTCCGACACTTCTCCTGTGGAAAAACAGGCCCATCATCATTTATCGACTTCACTTCTCGGCAGAAAATCAAAAACTTTCATCAGTCTCAGCATCTGAAATGAACTCTTTTTAATTTTCTGTTTGTAATTTCAAGAGAAAACTCGTCCAGCTTCGTCCGTCGCTGAACGGATCCAGATACTGGCACCAAACATGTTCTGGCTGGAGCGGCTACGTCAGTGACGTTTACCAATGATCTCCCTCTACTGAAGGCAAATGAGCGATAATGCTTTTCACAGTGTCCATGTGGTGTTAGCAAAATATCTCATGAACCCCTGGACAGGAAGTAGTGCAACACTCATCATCATATTTGATTAAACATTTAAATCTGAAGAAATGTTCCGATCTCCCCCATTCTCGATCAGCATCAGCTAATCAGTATCATCCTAACAAAGACATTTATGACTCTGAATTTGACTAAAGTTTCGTGGTAGTAGCTGAGAGTCATCCACAACACGCACTCTGAGATCGCACATGAAGTCTGTTTGAAGCTGCAACACGACATGATTTGAGTCTGAACTCCTGAATGGAAGGAGGCGGGCGACAAGCATTCCTGCAGTGAGTATTAGGACTTTAGGCCTTCTGAGCAACAGAAACTTTTCCATGTCTGCAAATAACATCCTGTCTAAGATCACTTTGAACACTTTATGGTGTTCCTCAGGGTTCAGTCTTTGGTCCTATTGTGTTCCTTTTATAAATCAGTCCTCTTGGACAGATTATCAGTCTCTTCGATAACGTGTCTTACCATTTGTTTGTGTTCAACTGTACCGTTCCTTTTACGATTCAGAATTACACAAGCCCGTCTCTTCGTGTGGCCGTCTCTGTTGATTCCTTTAAAAAGCAGCAGACATTTTTATTCAGACAAGCTTTTAGTTAAATGTCCTAATTACTGTTTTATCAGCTGTTCTCGCTGTTTTGATTTATTTTAAGCCTGTATTCTGTATTTATGTAAAGTACTTTGTGATTATATCTACGACTCAAACGTCCCTCATGTCCAGGTGTCCACAAAGACTCAAACGTCCCTCATGTTGAGGTGTCCACAAAGACTCAAACGTCCCTCATGTCCAGGTGTCCACAA